CAAAAAAGTGTACTCAATGTTGTAAATTACATGAATGCAATGATATTTTATGTTCACATTGTAAAAAAAACAATATTGAATATAAACGTGCACTTATTAAATCTCAAAAAGAATTTAATCTATTTAAAGAAAAAGGAATCAGTTATTCATCAGGAAAATTTGAATCAACCAAACAATTAAGACTTCACAAACAAATATATTTACAATTTAAAGATCATCAGACTATTAAATTAGTTAAAGAAATATTTGGACATCAATTTATGAATTTTCAAACAAATCTTAATAGAAATTCAGATCAAAATCGTGATTATAGTATCAAAATTTGGGAACAATGTCTATCACATAAAAGTAAAGGATATAAATGTAATTATTTTATTTGTGAAAATATTTGTAATAAATGTGATGAATCATGTGCTGAATTAAGAAGATTTGCATCTTGGACTGATAAAAATGATAATTAATTACCAATAGAAATTGTTGGTCCATTTATTTTTGGAGATTATCAATTTTTAGATAAACCTTCAGAATTTTCTAAAAATGAAGATCTAATACATAAAAAATTAGAAGAATATAATCGAAAAGATAAAATTATTAAAGAGCAAATCTCTTATGAGGAAGTTATTAAAAATCCAGATTTGATGCCGCATGAATGGGTTAATAATCCTTTTGCTCATGAGAAAATTACCAAAGATAGAGAAAGATTGATGAATCACATAAAAATTATTTCTGAAAAAAAATTCTATCCAAAGAATTTTCTCTTTTTTGGTGATTCAGGTTCTGGGAAAACCACTATTGGGGAAAATTTGGCCAAATTATTAGCTAAGGAGAAAAGATATTGTACAAAAGCAGTTGATTCAAATTATATTAATGAGTATGAAAATGAAGAAGTACTAATTAAGCATGAATTGACACATAATACATAGAAATTTGAGGATTTATTGAATCTTTGTGAAAAAGATCCCTGTCCGATCAAATAACGAAATAAAAAACCAATCAAAGTGGTTACCAAATATAATATATTCACATCACAAGATCCTTTTAATGATATTTTTAGTTTTAGAAAACGTGTATTTGATGATAGGAATATTAGAAGTCCTCAAAAAAGAATTGGTTTACATAGAAGATTTTCAAAATATGAAGATTATACGCATGGTTACATGATTCAATTATTAGGTCGATACCAATCAGGAAAAGTTGACTATCATATTTCTTGGCTTGAACCTGATAAACCAGGTGATCTTTTAGATTTTATCAATGGAAGATTTAATATGAAATTTGTAGAAGGTTTAGATTTAGAAAAGGCAAAAACATA